TTAGGCTGAGCTTCCAGCCTGAGGAACGTGAGCTGAGATTTCTTCTGCAACTCAGAGCAGCTGGGATTTGTTCATAAATCTGAAATTTTGGGACATCCAGAACAGGCAGCACATGGTTTTTTATTTTTAGGGTTTTTTTTCCCCAAAACTCAGAAATTTTGAGGTGGGATATGCAGAGTTTTTTCAATAATTCAGAAATTTTGGGACACCCAGAAAAGGCAGCACATGGGGATTTTTGGTTTGGTTTTTTTTCCATAACTCAGAAATTTTGGGATGCTCGGAGGAGATGGAACACACAAGGATTTTTTCATAATTCAGAAATTTTGGGACACCCAGAAGAGGCAGGACATGGGGATTTTTGTGGTTTTTTTTTCCCAAAACTCAGAAATTTTGAGGCAGGACATGCAGAGGTTTTTCCATAATTCAGAAATTTTGGGATGCTCAGAGGATGTGAGACATGCAGGGATTTTTTTTTTTTCCATAACTCAGAAATTTTGGGATGCTCAGAGAAGATGGAACATGCAGGATTTTTCTCACATAATTCAGAAATTTTGAGGTAGGACATGCAGAGTTTTTTTCCATAATTCAGAAATTTTGGGACACCCAGAGGAGGCAGAACCCACAGGGATTTTTTTTTTCCATAACTCAGAGGTTTTCAGGTAGGACACTCAGGGTTTTTTTTTTCCATAATTCAGAAGTTTTGAGATTGGACATGCAGGGATTTTTTCATAATTCAGAAATTTTGGGACACCCAGAAGAGTCAGCACATGTTTTTTTATTTTTTGGGGTTTTTTTTCCCCAAAACTCAGAAATTTTGAGGCAGGATATGCAGAGTTTTTTCCATAATTCAGAAATTTTGGGACACCCAGAACAGGCAGCACATGGTTTTTTATTTTTTGGGTTTTTTTTTCCCCAAAACTCAGAAATTTTGAGGTGGGATATGCAGAGTTTTTTTCCATAATTCAGAAATTTTGGGACACTCAGAAGAGGCAGCACATGGGGTTTTTTGGTTTGGTTTTTTTTCCATAACTCAGAAATTTTGGGATGCTCAGAGGAGATGGAACACACAGGGATTTTTTCATAATTCAGAAATTTTGAGGTGGGACATGCAGAGTTTTTTTCCATAATTCAGAATTTTTGGGACACCCAGAAGAGGCAGCACATGGGGATTTTTTGTTGTTTTTTTTTCCCAAAACTCAGAAATTTTGGGATGCTCAGAGGAGGAGAGATATGGGAGGGGTTTTTTTTCCCCCATAATTCAGAAATTTTGGGACACCCAGAGCAGATGGGACACGCAGGGATTTTTTTTTCCATAACTCAGAGCTTTTCAGGTGGGACACTCTGGGGTTTTTTTCCCAAAACTCAGAAATTTTGGGATGCTCAGAGGACATGGGACATTGGAATTTTTTTTCCCCATAATTCAGAAATTTTGGGATCCCCAGNTTTAATGTCTTTATTTAATGTTTTCAATGCCTTTATTTCATGTCTTTAATATCTTTATTTAAGGTATTTAATGCATTTAATGTACTGAATGTATTTAATGTATCTTTATTTAATGTATTTAATGCCTTTATTTAATGTATTTAATGCCTTTATTTCATGTATTTAACATCTTTATTTCATGTCTTTAATATCTTTATTTCATGTATTTAATATCTTTATTTCATGTCTTTAATATCTTTATTTCGTGTATTTAATACATTTAATGTACTTAATGTATTTAATATCTTTAACATCTTTAGTTCATGTATTTAACATCTTTATTTCATGTATTTAACATCTTTATTTCATGTATTTAACATCTTTATTTCATGTATTTAATATCTTTATTTCATGTATTTAATATCTTTATTTCATGTATTTAATATCTTTATTTCATGTATTTAATGGCTTTACTTCCTACCTGCAGCTCCGCCCAGATTTACAATTCCCCACCCAACCCCGCCATTTATTTCTCTGTGAAATTCACTTTTTTTTTTTTCCATGTGAATACAAACCCAAGGCTGTTGGAATTTGGAATTTTTGAATTTCATTTCGTCCTTTGCTTTAAGGCCGGCCTGGGGGGGCGTTGTTGCTCAGCCCGGGATTTAGGCCGGGTTTAAAGTTAGGCTGAGCTTCCAGCCTGAGGAACGTGAGCTGAGATTTCTTCTGCAACTCAGAGCAGCTGGGATTTGTTCATAAATCTGAAATTTTGGGACA